CTTTTTCCGTCACGTTGTGACCATCTTATATATATCAGACTACCCTATATCTAGTAATCTCCCGACAATTCACGAAGGTACAAAATATTTCCAGAAAGTAGGGGCGTGACACTAGTCACGTGACCTCGCTGACGCAACAATATTTTACAAACATAGCAACTCCTCTCCCTCTTTTTAGTACTCTATCCATATTAAACAATGTATAAGCCTCTATTTCAAAGAAATTATTGTCCTCAGAATTTTCCACATTTGATCAAGTTATATTTATTCACATTATATTAATATCCTCTTTGCGAACCAGTGCTCTAAAGTCATCTATTTTATTTTTGATTCTTCTAGCATTACAATTATAAAACTTTAGCCTGCATTTAAACTTTGTTTTTATGCTATGCTTTTCTCTACAGCTTATGATTTCTTTATTATTTTGGCTTTCACAACTGTCTAGTTCTACTTTAAAGGGCCCTCGACTTCGAGTTAATATCCCTTGCAACCAAAACCTCCCTTTTCATACTGAAATGATACCACTAATCTAGCCAGCCAACTTGTTTGCCCTTGCATATTAAATTATGCCAAACATTCATACCTAGTGACTTACTTATAATTTCATTTCCACAATCAGTAACAGCAGATTCGATCAAGAAATGGAAGGTGGGGGTGTTCTGTAATTGATAACTTGACTGAATTTTTAGTCAGTCAATGCAGTCAGGGAACAAAAGTCGCAAGGTGGTGCCATCCACTGGACAAAGAAAGCAAGTTAACATTCTGGATCCAGAGATGCTTTTATCTTCAATAGACTTGCAGAGATTGAGCTTGAAAAACAAAAATCTGGTAAGCTATTCACTGATCCAGTAAAAGTAATCTTCCATTTGTCTATACAGAACATGGTTTTATGTTGTGTTTAAGTAAATATTGTTTCACTGGCAGTTAAATGTGTCCAATCTACTTATTCTTCATACAACGTTCAGCTTCAGTCAATATCACAGTCTGCTACACAAGGATGTTTTATCACTAGCCTGCTCAACTTGGTCTCTATGTGCAATGTTGAAATATCCTAGTGGGCAGAGAAGACATCACCTACTAGATAAGGTAGAAGCGGATAGAATAACATAATCTTAGCAACTCTGGACCACGTACTACCGTCATGACAGTGCATCAATTAAATAATCAATAAAGTGGAATAATTCTATGTTGCTATAAAAGGTAGGAAACCCATGGCATGTGCTCGCATATCACACATTTAACGACAACGAATTGATTTGTTTCTTAAATAACGTTAATACACACTATGTTCACTTTTATGTAATGCATATAGGCCTTAGTTCACAAACAAACTTTTCAAGATGAGCTCTGAACCTACCTTCCTTGATTGATAACAAACGCTGACTAACTTACTGATTGGTTTACAGGAAAACTAACTGTTGTTAAATAATTTTACTCGATCAATCTTCTAACTAAAAATCTGATAAGAAATAATGCTATAGCCAAGTAACAATAAATGAGATATCTAATTTAAGTAACTTATTAAAACGACTTATAGCCACTGTAAAAAATAAAATAGAGAATTTATTCCTTCAAACTACCATTCTGATCAATTTGTAATTTTATTTTTTAATAGTATATCTATCTAGACCACTGGTATTTCCTTAAAATGAATTGTGAGTTTCTTGATACTAAGTCGCAAGAAACAAAATTAGAACGTTGGCCGAAAGAAAAAACAGTGTATATTTAGTTTTTGAGTATTATAAAATTATAATATTTTATAGCCCTCTATAATTTCCTTTTTATTTGGGGGGATTTCTCTCGTTCGATTTATAAGTGTTTTAGTTGTTCTAGTTATAACATTGTATGTTATATTTAAACTACTGTAAAAAGCGAACAGTTTAAGAGTTGTTTGTCATGTGATGGGTTGTTGGGTTTTACTTAAAATCCGTCGAGATTACTAATTTAGTTTTACTGTTAAACTACAAATTAATTTATATTTCATGAAACATGGAGGAAGTTGATCATATTATTACCCACACGCTAAAACAACTAGGATGGTAAAATAAATTTAGTATTATTGATTTTTTTAACCTAATTATTAGTGATAGTGAGATATTTTAAATATTTCTTAATTGCATTTTTTAAATTATATCATTTGCTTAGTTAATGTTCTTAATCTTATTCTTAGTCTTACTAGCTTCTTAATTAAAATTAAACATTAAAATGTAAAAACTGAACTACGAACTGTCACTAGAACTGTGAAATTGAAAGAGACTATATAAATTATAATGTAGGAATACTGAAGATAAACTATTATTATTAAGTATTATCTGATGCATAAAACTTCATTTTATGTCGTGTGTGTAGCAAATGGACTAGGCAAATAGAACAGTAGACTGCAGTGTAAGTCTGCAGTAGACCAACTTAGTTGAACTTCTACTAGTTTATAGTTCTAGGCCTATGTCAGAGCAAATTATTGTAGTACATTGCAAGGAGTTGCCAAAGTACTGAAATACTAGTTAAAGTTAAAAAACAAAAAGATATAATAACAAAGAAAGACATTTTTATTGAGTTGAGTGTATCAAGTCAAAAATATTTTGTTTAAAAAAACAAGATTTGACCAAAGTTGGAATGGGCAAAATATGCTTAGTTCAGAATCAGGTCTTGGAGAGTTAATCTACAGAAGTATCTCAGGTGGAAAGGATGGTGTTTCAAAGTGTCACTTTGAATTAGGCAGTTGCTGCCCATTTTAACTTGTTTTGTTTATCATGAAGACTGCCTAACCATCTGTAGAAGAAAAGAATCTGGACTCACTTTCCACTATACCAGCAACAGTTTCGTTATCTCTCCAACACAACAGAAAGTTGGCTTTTGTGATCTATGTTATGGTGTTATGGTAATTAATAGAAATGTAATGACATTCACTTATAGATGTTGCACTTTTATATATTTAATGAAAAATTGTCACACAAAACATTGTGTTAATTAAACTAGTTTATAACATAACACATAGACAACAAGAAGTCATTTGACCCTTCAAAGTAGTCCAAGGCAGTAGTCAACCCTGGAGAAAATAAACATTTCAAACCCATCTCTTATTTCTTAATGACATCATTGATTTTCATCTTAAACACCTGTAAAGTGCTAGCCTCCACTATTATAGATGGCAACTGATTCCATAATTTAATCACCCTATTAGAAAAATAAAACTTACCTGAAACCTAGCATATTCTTTTCCAAATATTAAACTTGTGTTCTCTCCTTCTATTATCTACAAGATGCAGCTCAATGAAATCAGAAGCTTTATCATGTTGATTCCACAGGTATTTTTGTAAACTTCATTAAGATCAACTCTTACCATTCTTTTCTCAAGAGACAATAATTTAAGAGATTTTAACATTGCTATCTCCAAAATTATCTTAGTAGCCCTCTTCTGAACTTTTCCAATAAATTTGATATCTTTTCTGAGATAAGGTGACCAAAACTGTACACAGTACTCCAATTAGTGCCCAGCTAGTAATTCATATAGATGAAATATGCATAGTATTTAGAATAAATTTAGGTAGGTGAAATTGATGAAATTTTTGGGTAGTAATTGGCTTTACCTTCCATGTTCTCTGGCCCCCTCTACCAATTAAAGATTATAGTTGAAACAAAAAACTTTTAAACATTAGCATGTGACTTTGAAATGAAACAACAGTTATGTAATAATAATTTCTCAGTACATTTTTGCTAAAAATTCAGGCTTTCTTCTTGAAATCTTTTGTTTAGTTTAATAAGTTACCAAAACTATTATGATGTACTATACACAAAATACTTTGTTATAAGCCAATTTTGATCAATGGAAAACTAAAATTCAATTTTCTGAAAAAATGTGAAGAGCTAGAAAAAAGTTAGAAAATGAAAGGGCACATGTTTTATCCATGTCCAGAGTTTAGAGGCTAAGGTCAGATACTTAGATGTCAATTTGCTGCATACAGAAAGAATGGAGGGGTAGAGAAAATTACTATTTCAACTTAGCGTACGTATGTGAAGGTACTTATTTTTTCATTACCTCAAATCTGCTTACTTTGCCTCCAGGTTTGAAATTAATACATTATTAAAGTAAAATCAAAGAAAAGGCAACACAACTGTAAATTACAGAATATTCAATTACATTACATAATTATATTTATTATGGTAATTGTTGTCTAATCTAGACATTAAATTTTCCAGTTCACCTCATCAGTACCCTCACACACTCCACCAAATAAAAAATATAAAATAAGCTCACACCTTGTTTTCAGGAAATTATTAAACCTCGCTTTAAACTCTTCTGAGGTGCCACTTGTACTAGTATGATGGGAATTCATTCCATAAGCTAATAGTATAATATAGCATAAGGACAACATAAGTCATTTGGTCCTTCAAGGTTGTCTACTCCCTGAACTTCCATTTTATTTTCCTGAAACTATTAACTTTAACTTTTCTAAAGTTTCAGCCTCCACTACTGCCAACAGCAACTCATTCCACAAACCAGTCACACTATTAGTCAAATGAATAAAACTGATTTAACTTGGACATAGCTTGTCTTTTTCAAATCTTAAACTTGTTTTTTGTCTTTCTGTTGTATAAATACAGTATAAAGAAATCAGGTGCCATTATCCTATTGAGCTCCTGATGATCTTTTAATCTTTAATAAGGTCATCTCTTCCCTTTTCCCAAGAGAAGATAGGGGGATACTAACTTTTCCCTTCTGTCCCCAGATTCATTTAAGTAACCTTCATATGAACTTTCTCTAATAAGTCAGTATCCTTTCGTAGATATGGAGACCACAACTGTACAAAGTATTGTATCCTTTCCTTGATAAGGAGACCATAACTGTACAAAGTATATAATCCCTTCCCAGATAAGGAGACCACAACTGTACAAAGTATTGTATCCTTTCCTTGATAAGGAGACCATAACTGTACAAAGTATATAATCCCTTCCTAGATAAGGAGACCATAACTGTACAAAGTATTATATCCTTTCCTTGATAAGGAGACCATAACTGTACAAAGTATTGTATCCTTTCCTTGATAAAGAGACCATAACTGTACAAAGTATTGTATCCTTTCCTTGATAAAGAGACCATAACTGTACAAAGTATTATATCCCTTCCTTGATAAGGAGACCACAACTGTACAAAGTATTCCCCCCTTGAGGCCTAACTTGTAATTTTTATATATAGAGAGAGAATTACTTATTTAGATACAAATCCTGTATAATGTGATCAATGTGTACGTGGAAGGTGTGGTGAGAGGTTCTGTTGTGGTTGATGACTTAAGTGACTTGTATTTTACTATGCCAAGATTCCTTTCTTCAGTCATGCTGTTGAATGGATTTCTTTGTATATTAAAAAAAGTATTCAAATTATATTCATAAATACATTACCTTGCAGTTATTGTAATTAAAGGTCATTTGTAAACTTAACAATTGGTCAGAGTCATTTTGTAGCAATTTAGCATTATCAGTTCAACTAGAAATACTTATAAATGAGATGGTCTGGGATATATTTTTACAGTCGGTGTAATTGTTTATGGATAAACTTAGTGATTTATTAGGCTGTTATGTTGATTTGCCTTGTTTCAATTGTTTGACTTAAACTGCTTGTTTATTAGTTACAAAATACTTTTACGATTTTAAATACCATGAAATAGGCAATGCAAGTAAAAGTTGTGTTTAATTACTATTAGTGTGCTGTGGGAATTATTTCTAATATGTTAACATTTACATGGAAAACTTTAACAGTACTCAAACTGACAACAAGAGTTTTGAATAACTGTTTGTTGTTTCTTAATTAACAACCCCCCACCCCATGGCTTAGCAGAAAATTGGAGGGATAATGACACAAAAAATCAGTAATTTGATGTCATTGGTGACCATAGTACATATACTCCATTGTGTAGCTTTACACTTAACACACACATACACAGTTGTTACACTGTTGATTCAGAACACTATTGATTAAGAATTGCAGGTTGTATCATGATGCAAGCATAACAGGGTTTTCAGAATTTTTATTTAGTGGATTAAGGTATGAGACATAATTGTCAAATGTATGTTGGCCAAATATATAAGGTGTTTTGTACAGTACTTAACTTTTGAATTACAAACTTATTTGGGTGATGCTTACCATTGATGGGATCTGCATATTGTATCATGTTGAGTAACTTACAAAGAAAGTTGTATAAAATCACTCATTTTCCTTGCAAAATATTTTATCCCTACTCTAGCAAATCACTGTAACTATGTTAGTCTGAGCCAATGATGGGATAAAACTTTTTAGATTCTAAGTAACTGTTATTGTTATTTTGACTTTCTTGGTTCAATACTTTTTGTATCATTAAAATGTTCTAGATTACTCTAGCTAGTTAGTTTACATATACATCGATCACTACTTGTCTTTATAAAATTTAAAAAATGTTTATTATACTTATTTGTTTCCTTTATTAGCTATATTTTTGTGTGCCAGCAATACCAAGCATGGGGCTCATGTACACCCAATTTGATTTTATTCCTCCTCAGGACCTATACACACTATTTCTATTTTGTAAAGCCTGTTGGTTAATTACTCCCAGCCTATTGAGTCAATCTCAGACAGTCTTGGCATGGATTCTAAATGGATTCAAAGTATGAAAGTTGCTGGATAATTTATCAAACAATCATTCTTTTCTTATGATTAGTGAGATGTAGAGTGTTCAAGGGTTGGATCATCTCAAAATCTTTATCTGTTGTTTATAAAGAAGCTTTGTTATAATTTAAAAAATTTGAGATAAAGTTTATGTTCAAGTTATCACTTTGAAATATATATAATTGCTGTTACACTTAAATTGTCTTAATTAAGTTTGGAAACATTCTCCATCAGTTGACGGGTATTTCAGCTTGTGGTGTGTGTGTGTGTATATACACACAATAGTATTTATCATTTTTGGTACAAGAAAGGAATCATTGGAACCCCAGATGGAAGGGGTCTGTGAAAGAATTAGAGCAATAAGTTGCATCATTTTTTTTGTATGTTTGTCTGGAAAAGTCACTTATTTATTTACTTAGATGAAAATTCTTTGAAATAGTGAAATTTTGATTCATTCCATAAACACACATATAGCAGTTAAGGTGGCTTTATAAGTACAATAAGCTTTATTCAGACATTTTAAAGGTGATTTTAAATGGGCAAATTTTATGGTTGCCACTTTGTGTTATCATGATTCCTACTATTAAGTACTGATGTACTTAATGACTAATGATTCTGTAGCCAGTAAAGTCACAGTCCTTCCAGAAATTAGCTACATAATTAGTTAGAACAGTGTTTTAAAAAGTTTGTGGAATCCTGTGAACCCCATTAGTAATTCTATAATTAGGCAATGGAAAAGCAGACTATTATCAATTGAATGGAATTCATCAGATACTTAGAGCAGAGTAAGCACTAAATTAGGATTTTTATTTAAATTCTGCAAATATATTTCCTTAATACATCTTTATTGAAGTTAACTTACCAATATAAAAAGTTAACAAATATGCAGTATTGTCTCAGCTACACAATCAAGGCATCGGTCGTTTATGCATATCTTTTTTGGGCTTGCTGACTTTGTTTGGATTGTGAATTTTCTATATACATGTGCAGCTGTACTTTGTAGTATCTAACTTGTAATATTTTTAGTAGACTATTTTAACATTTATGTTCGTTTCAACGATACTGGATTAGAAAAATAAGTGCAAATTTAATTAATATCAATGATATACAGTGAAGTTTTTTTTACTGTTGACTTGAAGAGTGTGAATGACATTTAAATCTATTTTCCTTTCTTCTGCAGTGACATAGATGATGAAGTTAGAAGACTTCATGATTTCACCACTGAATTGGTAGTAGAAGGAGTGGTTAGATGCCTTCAGCAAATTCTTCCAGATAAAAACCTGTCTAGTCATGTCCCACCCAGTATGGCTGCAAAGTATCGTTTAGGATCAGCTTTAGCAGAGGCCTGTACTGTAAGTTGTTGGTTCTTAATATTTAAGAAATTTATCTAAGATTACAAGAGCAATATAGATATTAGTTATTTAAAAAACTCGCTGAGCACAATATTGTTAAAACATTTTCTATTATTCAGTGGTTTTTTTTTTAGATTATATGGTAAAAATAATTCCAAGTCTAATCAATGTAACAATCATAAATTTGTTTATTTCTTAGTAGTAAATGCCTGTTGAAACAGTTCAATACAAAATTACTAAAAATCATGATAAATAAAAGTTTTACAGTCAACCCAATGCCTTAGATCAAATGGTATATGCAATATGATTGTGTAGTGGTCTGTTTACAACTGTAATTTTTTATTTGCCTGTCTGTCATGCTTTGCAGCTCGAGAATGGTTAACCAGAGGAAAAAAGTTATATATCAAAATGTTCCTTTTCATGATTACATCACAGGAAAATTGTTAATTTTTTGCAATTCCTAAAATTTCATATCAATATCAACATCGGTCTATCAGTCTTTGTATGTGCTGAATGGCCAATCTGAGACTAACTAGCAAACTTGAGTGCTCTATTGTGCTGAATGCACCCATTGCATCAAAACCCAAATATTTATGCCAACAAAGCATTGCAGTCAGTCTCCTTTGCTTAAAAACAAATGGGTAGACATTTGTTATGATGTTTCTACAGCTATAATCACTTGTAAGTTGTAGGCTTAATTGCACAAACAATGTTTCAACACTAACTCCACAACTGAATGTAGGTCTAACTTTGATTACAATGTTTCAGTATAAACTGCATGACATACACCTGTCTTATCTTGATAACTAGCTTTGTTAGCTAACCTTCATTCAACTCTTGAAGTAACTGAGGAACAGAACAAATGCAATAACTGTAACTGAATACTCATTCACTATTCCTGAACTATCCATTCATATTTTACTTTTATATCTGTATCCTTGTTTCTAGATATTTTGCAAAGATAGTGTTGCCTATAATATTGAATGTTGTATTAGCAACTATATTACATTATTTTGGTTTGGTCTTTTATGGCTACCTGAATGATTTTTCTCTTCTCACAATTGTTGCTTGCAAATGTGAAACTTGTTTCATCCTTTGATGTACTGTCCAAGGGAAGTTTTAGTTAGTATCAACTCAATCATTTACTTAGTTTTGTTCAATACTTTTTTTCAGGGGTTGGACACATTTCCTATTGCATTTTGTCAAGGAGACTTTTGTGACTGAACAGGGTGTGCAACAATATTGATATCTCTTTCCTCTCAGTATAGTGATTTATGGACATTTTTTTGATGGTGTCAAGGCTGTTCTGGTGATTATAAAAAAACATCAGACTTGTATCATTTTGTCTGTGGAAGTGCACTCTTACAGTGCTCTCAAAATACCCCAGGGGCCTGAATTCCACCCAGTAAAATATACATCAAGATCTGGCTACTTTTTACAAGGCAGCCACTGGATTTATACAGTTAATAACTTCATCACTAATTTGCATTTTAAGATGATCCTGTAGACACAGTTTTTAGTAATATTTCTGTTCTGATTTCTTGTATCATATGTATGGGAAATATAGAAAAAAACAGGGCACATTCAACAGTGAAAAAGTGGTGTGCTGAGTTTAAGCATGGTAGACAATCATGTGAAGATGATCCAAGGTAAGGTTGGCTTTCACTATTGACCACAAAAAAGTAGTAGATGAAGTTCATGATTTGGTTGTATATGATTGAAGAATTACCATTAGAGAATTAGCAGAGGAAGTGGGAATTAGTAAAATTACTGTAGACAGTTTGAGCATGGGTAAGATTAGTGCTAGGTGGGTTTCAAAAATGTTGTCAACTAAGCAGAAACAAATCCAAATTTTTAATGGCAGCACCTACTACACAGGTTTCATAACTATAGATGAAACTTGAGGTCACCACTTTGATCCAGAGACAAAAATGCAAAGTTTGCAATGGAAACACCCAAGTTCACCCACTCCAAAGAAGTTCAAGTTACAACCCTCTGCTGGGAAGTTCATGACATCAATTTGGCATCTCAAAAAATTTTACAAGTTGATTATTTGGAAGTGGTGTCAAACAATTACAGGAGATTATTATGAATCCTTAATCAACAAATTGCATCAATAAATCAAAGAAAAGAGAAGAAGATTGCTCAAATAAAAAAGTGTGCTCTTCCATCAGGACAATGCCTAGCTCACAAATTGTGTGTTGCATTGATCACTATCCATGGTTCTGGCTTCGAATTACTCAGCCACCTCCCTTACTTACTGAATTTAGCTCCAAGTGACTTTTTTCTCTTCCCTAACCTTAAAATCTCTCTGAAAGGTCAATTTCAAAGTGATGATGATCTCGTAGGTACTCTCAAGTCATGGGCTGAAGACCAAGAAGAATTCTTTCAGAAGAGTATAAAGGCTCTATAGCACCTCTATCACAAGTGTATAGATGCAGGAGGAAATTATGTTGAAAAATAAATCATAGTTGCACCAGTGTCTCTTCTTTATAGGTCAGGCCATAAACTTTTCAGACACCCCTCATATTTGTGACTTCCCTCCTTTAGAAATTTCTTCAACATGTTCTTCTCAATATTTAGTAAAAGTACATCAATCTACTACATAAAGATGCAAAGCAGTCTGTCTGTCATGCTGATATCTTGACTGTTGCAGTACCACTGGACATGCAACTTGCATGAAATGATAAGGCCTTCTGCTGCTACAAGCAAGTTTGTCTTTTTAAAATTCTTCCAACCATATATATAAAACAGACAATGCACTGCTTCAGGCATATAATTAGATTTGATGGTAGGTTGGTAGACATTGTGATGAGTAATAAAATTGAATTGGGTATATGTGCACCCCACAAATCTGATTGCACAAAATTTGTTGATGTTGCATCAATGTGTCTCCTTGACAACCAAGCAAATGTAATGGGAAATTTCAGCCAGTGTTTATGACTATGTGCCAGCAATACCAAACCATGGGGGTTATTATAGAGTTATAGCGGGGGTTTACCTGCAGCACGTTTCAATTTTGAAAATGCCCAAATTAAAGTTTGCTTCTTCAGTTTAGCAAGCTAACAAAGCCCAGATAAGGAAGACAGTCCAGGTAGAAAACCCCAAAGTTCATAATAGATTTCACTGCCTTTACCATCACAATTAATCATTTGCAGGGTCATACAGTTGACCAAAGAGGAATATGTCATTGAGAATAAGTTTCTTGCATGTTTCAATCTATAAATCTTTATCAAGAAGAACATTTGAACATAACTTAAAAATATACAGTGGTCAAAATGCTTACCAAGCAATACTTAAAGGAGATGATCAAATATACAAGAAAAATGTTGTTTTCATAAAATACTAGAACTAGGATAGTCATTCTCCATATATATATATTGTTACTGGATTGTAATTAATTTTTAGGAAACATGTTCATAAGACATTTATTTAGACACAATTTTGAGAAGAAAAATTAATCATTATATCCCATAATTTGACAAGCTTTCAGCTTGTTATTGATAAAAACAATTATTTTTTTTATTCATGATTTATTAACATGCAATTTACTGTGAGGTGCATCTTTGTGATGGGTGTGGTTGAACTAATGAGCAACCGGTCAGTTGGTAAAGTGATGTATTCCTACTGTGTAAGCAGTACCACATTATAATGACTTGATGCCTATATCATAAAGGAAAGTCAAAATTGAAAGCTGTGTGTGTACTTGTGAAATATATGAAAATAAATTTTCTTCAATAGAGTTCAAATTGTGTGATAACATTAATATTGTCAACAGAACAATACCATTTTCTTGTACCAGTATAAGATATTTCATGAAAGAATAAAAATTTGATGTGTAGGTAGTTTTATGTTTAAAATGTATTTATGCAACTATAATATCTATTTAATTCTAATCCAAGTACCTTTTTCCTTAGGAGTTGGGTTACAAAGGAGAGATTGGTTATCAGACATTTCTCTACTCAAATGATTCTGAGCTGCGAAAAATCTTTATTTTCTTGATTGAAAAGTTACCCAAAGAAGCAGAAAAAGTTACAGATGAGCCTTTAGGTAAGATAGTTGTTTGTGTTCTTTGCAATTTTTTTCTGTAAATTATTTACATTATTTATTTGGTTTTATGCACCTTTATAGTCAAAACTGTTTTGTAAATTTATAATGATAATGGGCCTTACACGAGTTTAATTTTGAACAGTGTCATTTTGGATGTTGATAATTTTTTATCAGTGAAGCTGACACTTGTTGGGAAGTCATTCTGCAATGTGGATTAAGTTATAAGTATCAAATCCACTACTGAAGGGATGTTTAAACCATATATATACTATGCACATTATTAATTTGTATTTTATATTTTGTTTAATTTTTAATATTGCATGAGTGCCTAATCCATGAAAAACACAAAAATACAACATTACAAATTTTTTTAATGTGTTACACCTGTGCATGTTTGTAAACAAGATTGATTTGTGGTTTTTGCTATTGGTTAATTAAAGGAGAAAATTACACAGTTCCATTATTTCATTGGATACTCTTTATCAAATAGTTATTGTTATTTGAGGAATAGTTCAAAAACAGTCAGTTAACAAAATCACCTGTGTAAACAATTTAGACCAGTTATTAAGATAACAGCCAAGCTGATAGATGTCAATCACAGAAGAATGATAAAACATTAAGTAGGTAATTATAAAAATAGAATAATTAACATAAGTGAAATGAGTAGCTTAAAATTTGATTAATAATAAATCAAACTTACAAAATACTTTTCCTAAAGTTCAATATCAGATTAAACACATCATTAGAATCATGGTTACAGGACCACAAGAAAAAAGAAAAAATACAACAAGATTTTCATTTCTCTTTAAATTTATTCATTGAAAAAGAGCCATAATTGACAACTTGTCATTGTATTGTTTCACATCATCCCTACCAGTTCTCTCTGTCTTTGCAAATTTTTCTTTGTGTTGAAATTTAGGGGAGAAGTCATTTCTCCATAAATTTTGAGTCTAGCATGATCCCTAGTATCTGTATAATAAAGGAATAATATATGTGGGAGGGGGGCTTTTTAAATTTCATTAAGCTATGCAAAAATGAAATTATGAGTAAGGAAGTGTGGATGACATCACCAGATGCTTAAAGAAGGTATGGGTGTAAACAATATGGTGCACTGCAAAGGGAAACGTATTTGGGGAATGGATCTGTCATCTATCAGACAGCAGTGTTTGTGTGTTAAGGTTTTATATGCCAATTTATTCATTCATAGATACTTAAAGTACCAGTACCATCACCCTGTTAAGTTTTAATAATTGCCTTCCCCCCACCTCAGTACCCAGGTTTTGAAAGCATCACTAGATCTGGTGTATTTTGCTAGATAAGTCAATCAGTTTGTTTTTGTACTAGAGATGTTTGGTGGGTATCACGAGTTGTAAAATAGTTTTAATCCACAGTCATTTTAACTACTTTAAATACACTGCCCTTACATTTTGTAAACTTTTTCACCCTAGTAATGATTATTATAGTTTAGCATCTAGAGATGATAAGAAATTGTAAAGTACTCCATATAATAATAGTAAAAAATTAAACAAGATGATCATGTCGGGTGTGAGTAGTCCTCTCTTCTACATTTGTAGGATAATTTGTTAATAAAAGTGGACGTGAGGAGGGCTAACAAAACTATTGTACTTGTAGATCATAAACCATGAGGGTACTTTGAGGGAAAGCATTTATATCTTCTATTATTCTCTTTATCATAATTAATTTATTTTGAGATTTATATCAGTAAGGTAAAAATAGGAGGACATGATTTTTATCACTGCAAGAAAGGAAAATCATGTAGTCACGCACACACTAATATTTTATTACATTAGACTACATGTATTAAACTTATTAGTTGGTAAATGAGTAAAGTTAAATGATGACATTAAACTCTTGGATATTTCTAACTGTAATTAAGATGTTGAAGTACTATACAATGAATTGGCCAAATAGTAAGTTGGGTAAATATTTGGCAAATGACCTTTATTTTACTAAGTGCAAGGTAATTCAGTTGGGTTATCATGCTTAAGTTTATACTTATAATAAAGATGGAAACCCATTCAATAATGTTAACTGAAAGAAAGGATCTTGGCATAGTGGTGGATAAGTTGGAAAAGTTTTTGTAGCAATGCTGTGTTGTTAGTGATGAAGCTAATGGAAATTTAGAGTGTATTTATAGACATTGATTACAAGTAAAAAAAAAAAGGTAATTATCTATACAAATCATTAATTAGGTCTCTGGGAATACTGCATACAGTTTAGTTACAATCTAAAAAAAGGATATTGACTTACTAGGAAGAGTTCAGTGGATGACTACTAGGGTCGTTTCAGTGATAGAAGAGCTATTATATATCTATAGGATAAGATCTCCTATTTTCGTTTTTTTAAAAAAAAAAGAGGGAAGAGATGATCTTATTGAAGTTTACAAGATCGTTTTGGAGCTCAGTCGGATAGCGGCCTTTGATTTCTTTCTGTTGTACTCTGAAGACAATAGGATGAGATTTGGAAAAGACAGGTTATGCTCAGTTAAGACAGTTTTATGGAATGAGGTACACTTTTCAAGAGTTTAAGAGGGTAGTTGGTGATTTCCTGAAAAATAATGGTTGGGTTTAAACTTTTACTTAGGTGGATGGGTAAGGGCAACCTTGAAAGATCAAATGTTCCCATGTTATCTGTATGTTCTATTAATATAGTATTGTTTAATTTTATTTATTCTTGGCTTTCCTGTGTTATGCAAGTTATAATAATGAAAATAAAACACACCTGTACATCATAAGGTTTAATCTCTGAAGTGATAAAATATTAAAGTGAAAATTGAGTAACATGAAGTTAAGTGTGTACTTATAAATGTGTAAGGGTATGTTTTTAGTTTATCAATTTCATAATGCTTGTAAAAACAATGGCAATATATTTATAAGCTTCTTTCTTTTTCAATAATTCACATTTTATTTTTACTTTAATAACCTTAGAATTTCATGCTAAAGATTAAAAAGTTCCAGTTTTTAAATTTATGTTTTATATTATCTTTGCAGGAAAATCTGATCTTTTAAATCGAGCAATTGCAGAAGAGTTATCCAGGCAGTTGAAGCTTCCTTGGTTGCCAAACTATTGTAAACCAAATGGTTTAAGGTGGAGTAGTCCAAACAAATGGCACAGAGAGGTGTGATATTTAGTTTTTGAATTAATTAAAAAGATTTTGTAAAGGTTGAAAATTTCAAAGAATTACTAAAGTTTATTTGTTATTTCTTCCATAAGTAGGTGTCTTCTCTGCATAACTAAAAATGTCTGGCAAGTTAGAAGTAGGACTCACTTTTGGCGGATGCTTAATATACTTTTTGGGAATACTTCTTAATAATCATTCTCCTTAAGTTTTATAATCATCTTTAGTCAAATGTTTTAAAAAGTAGATTGTTTAATTTTATGATTGACAGTATGAGAGTCTTAGAAACAGTTTTGTTTGCTTAAGTAATAGTTTTTCATCTGCAAAAGTTTTCTCTGGTTGAAAGTGACTTGGTAGTTTTTTTTGTTTGATTATTAGCTTATTAAAATTGTAGGAGTTTGTGTTGGGAAAACCTAGAATTATCACAGTCTATGTGTTTGTGAAACTTTAGTGAAAAGCTAAATTATATATTTGTGATAATGTTAAACTGAGTTATGTTTAAGCTGTTTCATTATAAATGTGAAATTATACCTAGTTACATTTCAAAGTTTAGCATGTTTAAGCAATTTTGCGTTAATATACAAAAAAAATTACCCAGATTATTTTTCTTTCTGAAGAAATACTGCATTTGAGCAAGAAGCTATAAACTTTATTTTGTTGGTTAAAACAAAATAGTTGTTTCAAGCTTTGAATGACAGTCTAATGAACGATTTAAAACTGTAGCTTTATGAAAAATTACTTGAAATACCAGTACTTAAAAATTTCACATGAAATTTTTTCTTTAATGTGTTCTCTATTTCTAATAATTAAAAGTTAATTTCTCAAGTTAAAAATTTCATTTATGTGAGTTTCATTATGATCTTATTACAACAAAAAATGATGATATCATTTCAAATAGTAATTACTGTCATGAAATTAGGAATGAGAAACATTTATTAAAGTATAAATGGGTACTCTTCAAGTGCAAGAGACAGAAACAGCAAAAATAACCCTAAATTTATAGTCCTGTATGTATCCAATCAGCAAGTTTGGACTCCTGACTTATTTTGCTGTTGACCAGTAAAGGAATTTGAGGAAGTACACATCCCCGGTTTTGTCCTTTTGATAGTATAAGACCTAATGATATGATGAATGTTATTGCAAAAGACATTCCCTGTGAAATATAATGCAATAAAAAAATAGCATTTTCCTATAAAGAACGAGATTACGTATTTGTTTTTTTAAATGCTATAGTATAAGTATAGTGTAATGGTTATTTTCCACATGTGTGTACCTGAGTTTGAGTATTTGTATCATCAGCTCATCTAAATATCTCATCTGTTGATGAAGTTATGTAAAATAATGGATACTTTTGCAGCTGCTTGAAAGAAAATATGTAAAATGAGTGATTTTTATTTTAGCAATGTGTGCTAATATTTCAGGGTTGCAGAGGAACACATGCTCTTCATACTTGTAATTTGTTTGTTCCAAGGGACATTACTGACAGTAACAGTAAGGTTGTTCAAGGTAAGGAAAGCTTTTTGCTTACATGGTACATTAATATTTACTTGTAATATAACATTTATGTATTTTTTGTTTAGTTGAAATAAAACAATTAGAACCATGACTTTTTTTATGCAGCCACAAAACCATGATTTCCACATATTTCTGTAAGAGATCTAAGGAGATACTTTTTCATGAGTACTTGAAAAATGCAAATAAAGTATGGGTAAAGCTTTCAATGTCAGCCAAAAATAGTTCTTTGGTTTTTATTGAAAGTCTGTGTAGAAGATATAAATAACATATCATTGCCATATTTCTAATGGTGGTCTGTAATGTTGTTGAAATAGTTTCTCACTGTCATTTCTGGGTTGTAACCAACTTGTACCTGAATCCTCTTTTTGCATCTTCAGTGTATTTGGATTTCATTATCATCAGTAGTCATGTAAAAATCCTTACTACAAAACATCCAACAGTCAAATTGACATGCAATTTGGATTTAAACTTTATTAACCCTCCTTTTTTAAATTTAATAGCTTCCTGTGGCTCAGTGGTAAGTCTAAGGGTTTATAATTTTAAAAATCTGGTTTCAGTACCTGTGGAGGACACAGTACAAGCCAATTCTACAGCTTTGTGATTAACAACAATTTTTT